AGGGTCTGTTGGAGGAGCAGATGGCCTTTACAGCTCCATGGGCTCCTCTTTGCAGGTGAAGAGAAGCTGTGGAGGATCAACAGCTTCCTCGCTGTTGGGCCAGCACCAGTGAGTGTGTGGAGAAGGAGCATATCAAAGCAGAGAGGGAATCAAGCGCATTATTTGTGGAGATGGGGTCAGGAGGGATGGCTCCCTGCAGGCTTGAGGTTTTGCTGCAGCGCCTTCTGATGCCCTTTGAAAAAAGGCCAGGCCATTGGCACACTCCAGTGACTCAGGATCTGTCCTTCCAGCATTGGTCACTGTGTGCCCTGCTCCCCTCCTCCATTTCCCATTCCAGGTCCATTCACTGTGCCAAACAACAGCATGCAATCATCTTGTGGGGGTTATTTCTGCCTAATGTACCCACCCAGTGGGATTTTAGTGAACATTAAAGCAGTAGATGGAGCTTTTAATGAAGTTAACCTGCTGAAACCAGGAGAGGGTTTGGTTGAAGTACACCTGAAAGCCCTGGATTACACAGCAGCTGCTTCAAAAGAAACCATTGCCTCCTTTCATACCACTGCTGTATTGAGAAATAATACAGCACCTTTATATTCCACCTAATTTAGTCAGTCTGCTGAAGTCTGAAAGCTTTTTTTATTAACTCTGTAGATGCAGGGGCTTTCCTCCCCCTGTTGGCACCACTGCCCGCCCCCTAGCAAAGGCTGCTGCTCAGAGCAAGCCCCCAGCAGCAAGTCTGCACCCCTCCCACGGCTCAGCACCTCCAGAGCCAAGAGGAATTGCTCTCCCTCTCTCTGCTAATCCGATGATGGATTTTAACTCCATTAGTTTGCTTCCTCTGTACTCTTCCTTGTTTTCTGCTGTTTATTCATTTCCCCCATCCCCTTGTTCTGTGTCTTTGTTTCTTTTGCCACCTCCCTTTTCCACTCTTCTCTCCTTTTACCTCTGCTTTTTTCCTCCTTTTTCCCATTTCTTCTTTCCTGGCTGTCTCAGCACTCCCCTCATTTTTCCTGCAGCAGGGTTGCTCTCCTACTCTCCCCAGAGCCCTCTGCCAGCTCCTGGCACTGCAGCAGGGCAGTACTGACCTGGGCCCCACAAAGCTGCCTGAGCTTCAGGCCACACTGCAGCGGGGCAGCCTGAGCACTGGAGTAGCCTCTGCACAGCAGCAATGCTCCTCCTGTACAAAATATCTGTGAGCAGGGGAGCCAAGGGGAGAAAGGAGCTCCCTGACGCTTCGCAGACAGTCTGGCAGCTGGAAAAATGGGGGAGGACATGTTAGAAGGAGGGGAGCAATAACGGGTGAGTGGGCAGTAATGGGATGGGCAGGAGTGGGAGTGAGTGGGCAGTAAGGGGGTGGGCAAGCACTTGCTTGCTACAGTACCCCCCGAGCTGAAGAGGCAGCCTCTGAGCTTGCTCTGCAGCTGCTGTTTAGAAGATTAGCAGACATAGTACTCTCCATGAAAAATTAACAGGGCAGGTTGTTAATTAAGCCACCTCTAGACTGGAAGTTTATGGACTTGAATGCAATGTGCCAAATTGCTCTCTACAAGTTGGGGTACTGGCCTGCTTTCTGAGTACGGACAAATTCCCCAGCAAATAGTCTGGTTGAAGACTAGGACTAATGGGATGCTAAGGTAATTATTGGCTATTTGTGGCTATAAAAAGAGATCTTGTAATCGTGCACCTGATAGACTAATAAAAACATTTTATATGATGCACTTACAGCTTTTTAGCTGAGGATCTCAAAGTGCTGTCTGAAGGAGAAAAACTGCAAAAAAAGTCTGTGGTCCTGTGAGGAGTTGGGAGACAACCCACACTGTCTGCCCCATGCCCTGCCCTCCCACTCCTTGGATACCCTGCCAAAAATGTTTGAGTCCCTGCTCTCCTGCTGACTGACAATACTTGGGGTTTTATCTGGGCTGGGTATCACTTTTCCCTGCTCTCATTCCTAACCCTGCTTCAGTCCTGCCGTGTTGTTTTCTCTGGAAGGCTGTCAAGATCTGCATTGGAAATAGTATGTTTTGACATAAAACTGGGGGAGACACCCTATTTGTCCAGCTACTCTGGAGCCCAGAGAAGGTTATGGGAATACATGGCGCCTTGGTTTTAATTGTGTTTTATTTTAAATCAGGATTGAGAAAGGCTCTAAGGAAAAACTTGGGGGTTTCCTACTTTACAGACACCTCCTGATGGTCAGCTCATGAGGAGAGAAGGACTCATTTAGAAAAAGGAAGCTGTGACTGAAAATAAATGAGGCTGTATGATCAATGTTTAAAAGAAGCTGCAATTAAAGGGAAAAGAAGAGCAGAGCCAGGGAAAACCCCAGGTATGCAGGCCCTCGGGTCAGCAGCAGGGAACTAGACAGTGTTTGAGGAGGCAAAGGCTTTCTGCTGGAGGGGAGGAGAGATGGGAGAAATTTCACTGCATCACACAGCTCTGACTAATGCTTGGGCTGCAAAATTCCTTCAACCAAATTTAATGCAGATGGTACATTAAATATTACAGTACCATTAAATTACATACTGTCTCATTTTCACTGAGGTTTTGTGGATGTTTCTGACATACAGACATGGAAAAATGCTGCAGTTCCCAATGGGTTTGGTGAGCACTTACTTGTGGGTTTGAAATACCCACAGGACAACTGGACAGTGACCAGAATCCTGAGCCCTTTGGCAGAAGCAGGACTTCCCAGCACAGAAAGCCGATGAGGTCCAGCCTTGCTTAGGGCACAGAGCAATGCCCACAGCAGCAGCAGCAGCAGCAGCTACCCCTGGAAACAGGCAGAGGTAAGTTCAAGGTACACAGCATCACCTGGTGCTCAGTGCCTTCAAACCTGAGAGAGGATCAGAGTCTTAAATGCTCCCAAAAGAACTATTCTTGACACTCTTGTACCTAAACTGGACTAGTAGGTGTCACCAGCTCTATTATCATCCTGCCCTTAACACCTGCAATGGTAGAAACTGCAGTCTCCCTGCCCAGTACTGTAGTTGTGTCTTGTCTTTCCTGACAGAGGCATGCTGAGGAGAGGAAACGTGAGGTCTGACACTAAAACAGAGAGCTGGATTTGTGGAGAGCTATTGAAAAACAGCTGAGAGAAACCTCTGTGGAGCAGCAGGTACCTTCATTTCCCATCACCATTTTCTTTCCTAGGGTTATCTTCTCTTCACTCAATATCGGATCAGAGTTGTTTTCAGTGCAATGTTGTGTTTACACTCTTCTATTGGCCTTAATCAGGGGAAACTGAACTTATGGGGAGAAATACTGCCCTTGTGCTCTATCGTACGTGAGATGGGGCTTGGTAACCTCTTCCTTTTCCATGCGTGTCTTAAGAGAGGAATGATTCATGCTGTGGGTTTATATTACGCTCTGATATCTGTGTTATGGTTTGCAAGGGCTATTTATACACACAAAAAAATCACACTTTGCTAGCTTGATAGTAGTCTAACTATAAGCGAGTAGTAAATAATAGTTGCATAATTCAACGTCAAAATACAATATATAAGGCAGTAGACTCTGTTGCCACTGGCTTTGCATTGACTTCAGCAGGTTTTGGAGCACATTTGAGATGCAGAAGATGCAAAATCAGGTATCAAAACACAGAGAAGGAAGATGATGCTACAGCCCTCGGGGTAACGGCTGAAATATCAGATCTGTCTGTCAGGCCAAATCTGTTGCTGTCAATGAACTTCCACAGGCCTCAGAGGAACTCGATGCATTTGTGTCGTGTGAATGCGCTTTAAACAGGTTGGCATCGTGATTTCATTGACGTGAGCTGGTGATGCTACCCATAACTGATAGACAGCAGAGTACAAAATAATTAGTCTCATCACCCTAAATGAATACCAGTGAAACGTTCTTACTTTCCCTCTCACCCACACAATGATGTATCTCACTTCTGCCACATGCCAGTATCTTTTCACTAATTACCAATTTAAAAAAACTGAGATAACGTAGCTTTAATCCTTTTGTTTATTTGAAAGTCGGAATCTATAATCTAGAGACTGATCAAAACCATAAATAATTTGTTTTTAAGCAGCTTTTTGATGCTGGGTTTTAGGACTCATTTCATTTCTATGCTTTGAAATTTCACCTCTCAAACAGCATGGAGGTGTGAGTTAGCCCCAGCTTGCCAGGTACTATTCAGCCTGTTGCGGTCTGTGAATTTAAGAGAGGAGTAAACGCAAGATCCCGGCGGTTCCAGCCCGGGCAGGGACTCCTAACCTTCTCAAATCAAAGGCGAACAAACTTTTTGAGCACTGTTAGACTGACTATGTGAACGCTGTTCTCGGTTTGTGTTTTTAAAGAGCATCTTGCAGAAAACGGGTTTAGAGCATGGAAACCAACTGCGGTGCAGTCCCGGGGCGGGTTTGCATTTGTCCGTGGTAGCAGCCTTTGCACCGCAACGCGGGTGCCAGGAGCAAGGCAGCATGTGCTTCTCGCTCCCGCTCCCCGCTCTGGCAGGCGGCTCTGGCCGAGGCTCGGCGCTCCTGGGTCCCGACCGGCAGCGGCGAAAGCCCGCGAGCAGGGACAATCCTTGTCCTGATGCTCCCCCATCCGACAATTTCTGGGTGTCTCCCTTCGCACAAACAGCTCTTTTGCCGTTATTTCCACCGGGTTTGGTTCCTGCCTGCGCCGTGGGCATGGAAGGGGGCCGGCGGCACCCGCGGACGGCAGCGCAGCCGGGATGCTCCCCGCTCCCCGGGCCCCTCCGCGCCCCGCGCAGCCCCCGCGTCGGCGCTGCGGCCCCGCGGTGTCCGCGGGCGGGGCGGAGCGGGCGGGCGCGCTGCGCGGGCGCGGGGCGGTGCGCGGGCGGGCGGGGGCGCGGGGGCGGTGCCGGCGCTCGGCGCTGACAGCCACATGCCGCCCTGCCTGAAAAGGCTGCGAGGCGCCGGCGGGGAGGGAGAGGAGGCGCAGACGGCGCCCCAGCCCGCACCGCCGCCGCCGCGCCCCGGGGGATGCCGAGGCGCCGGCCCCGCGGGTCGCCCTAGGGGAGAGGCGCTCCGCCGGCACCGCCCGCCCCGCAGCCCCGGCCCGGGCAGCGCCGCCGCCCCTCGCTGAGCCCGCCAGAGCCGCTCGCCAGTGGGGCGCCCACGCGGGGCGCGGCGCGGCGCGCCCGGGGTAGGGAGGCGAAGCCCGGCCCCGCAGCCTCGGGTCTTGTGTTGCGGGTTTTGTGTTTTTGTTTTTTTTTTTTTAATATAATTTGTTCCGAAGGATGGATACGTTTCTTCTCGCGTGGGGATTTCTAGGGCTGTGCTTGCCCGCCGCCGGAGGCACGGCAGAGACAGGTAAGGCGCCCTCCGAGACGAGGGATGTCCCCAGCCGCTGGTGGACGAGGGAACCCTCCCTGTCCGCCCAACTTTTGGCTGCCCGGGCGCGGTCCCGGGCGCACGCATAGAGGCTTTGCGTGGGAATAAATTAAGGGAATTCGTGAAGAATCGGCCGCACCACGCAGCTTTCGCAGCTTGGGTTTTGGAGGGGATCGTGCGTGTGGCGGGGCGGGGATGCCGCAGCACCCCGGTGAAGCACGCAGCGGTTGTAGCCGCGCGGCTCCCATCGCCCGGCGTGAGGGGCGAGGGGACGGAGCCGCATTGCAAAGTTGCGTACTGGTTTTTTGGGAAACTGCGGAGAAGGGTGGGAAAGCGGTAGGGACCAGCCGCATCCCGGACACCCGCACCCGGATGCTCGCGTCCCCGTGCCCGGTTGTAACCTCGGGAAACTTCAGGTTAAAGAGAAATCAAAATCATCTGGTAGGGAGCAGGCAGCCGGAGCCGTGCAGGGCTGCGCTGGGAGCGGGCGAGGCTTAGCGGTGGTGGCACCCTTCGGGCAGTCCCCCGGGAACGGCTGCCCGCGGTACGTGCAGGACCTGCACTTACTTTGCAAACACCGGACTGTCCCGGGACCAGGCGGTTTCGTGTCAGGTTTTGGGGCGCGAGTGTGTTTTTTTCTGGTCTTCGCTGAAGAGCTAGGCTGGGCTGTCAGATGGCGCTGGGATGAAGCCCCGGTCTTTGCGTTGATTCGGCATGGGGACAGGAGAGGAGCAGGCTGAGGCTGGGCCCTGTGCTCTCCGGACACTGGCTTTGTGTCTGGCTAATGGGAGCAGCAGGATCCCGACCTGGAGCAGTCCCTAGAGGAAAAGGATATGCCGTCCACTGCTCTCTGGGGGCTAGTTCTGCGCTCAGCAGCCCAGGAGCTTCTTGGCAGGACGGTGGTGCCAAGCCAGCAGCTGCTGAGCTGTAGCTTTGCCTTCCCGTTAGTCGGGGCCTCGGGACATGGCTCAGGGCCCTGAGCCGCGGTCTGACCCGGGCAGTGTTAGATGATGGCAGTGCGGTGTGCCTTCTCCTGTCTCTCTGCCTTCTGCCCCGGAGCTGCGTGGCCGGCAGCTCCCCCTTGAAAAGGGAAGTGGGAGAGTCTCTGCTGCCTGAGAAAACCCCTCTCTTCTGCAGCAGCGAAGCACAGACGTTCCCAACATACATTCGCTTGCCCGTTGGCATCACCTCGTTCCTTATGGTTATAAAGGAAAGAAAGAATCCCATCTTTTGTTCAAGTAGGAAAACGAATAAGCACTCGATGGGATGAAGAGAAAGGACAGTGTCCTGGGAGGCCCATGCTGAGTGCAGTAGTATTTTCAGAGGGCCCCTGTTGCAGTTGGCTGGTCTATTGGAGTGGGTTTTGTGCTGTGGCAGATCGGGCTGTAACCTGCGGCTGGCTCCTGAGGGTGCACTGGACAGCCTGACCGCGATCCCTTTGACTGCTGAGCTCGAGTGTGTGTTTGTGTCCATGCGTGCACCTCCTTATATCCTGGAGTGAGTCCGGCATCAGGACTTCTAACTAGGAAGGGTTTTATGAGCCAGCCATGTCTCTGAGGCCATTCAGTCGCTGTAAGTGTTTATTTGAACGCGGGGTTTTCCCGGCTAAGCAGAACATCACATGGTGTTGGAGCCAGCAAGGAAGTTGTCTCCCTGCGGCTGACACCAGCGGTTGTTTGCCGAGATGTTGTGTGGCTGCAAAACCAGTCAAATGACTTTGTTGCCAGCGCAGCGAGCAAAAATACGGGGTAATGGGACGCAAACCTCGATCAGGCTACACTCAGCTCCAGTAAATTAGCCAGCATAGTAAGGAAAACATGCCAGAGGTAGATGGATTTATGTTTCAGTCTGGTGTATCTGAAAGCCTTCCCCCATTACGAAAGTCCCTCTTTAGGTTCCCTAAGGGAGATTAGTAGAGAGGGGAGACGTTTTTAATAGACAATAATATGATAATCCACATGGAAAAAACCCTCATGCAATATTTCTACAGTAAGAGATAAACAGGGCAGCTGCCAATTTGTATGTAGCCAAGCAAACCCTGAGATAACCATGGAGGAGAGTGGGTGGGGGACCCGGGAAGATAAATCTGAAGGCTGGATGGCTATGTGTTTTTCATTTTCCCGTAAAAAGAAATGAAGTAAGAAAGTAACAGATTTGAGTGACCCGAGTACTGAGCCGTTCAGATGATGTTTATGCAGCTCCGAGCAAAGCTCACTCTGAAGCCTTCCAAATAGTTTACTTAAAAGCTAGTATTTTTAGTAATTACTTAGGAGATGTAGCAAGGTGGGGAGGGGGACCAAAACAAATTGCTGCCAAGCAGGCTCACGGCCACACATACAAACAAGCACACACACACCCACGCAAGCACTGAGTGTAGTGCCTTATGCCCGTGTGCTGTTAACTCAGCTCTTACTGGAAACAAAAGCTTTTTTAGACTAGGAATCAGATAGTTGTCAGGAACATCACTGAAAACGACTGATACAAGCTCGGTGGGGGGCTCTGACCCAGGTTAGCATGCTGCATTTTGTTTTCCTAATTTTACTGCTGCAGAAAATCATGGTGTGTGGTGTCTGGAGTGACAGGCATGCACACTGGTCCCAGGGGGCTCTACAGAGGTGCTTCCCATCTCCCTGCCTTGCTCCTTCTGCCCCCAGCCTCCTTCCCAGTACCTACTCTTGCATGAGGTACCCGAGAGGCTTAGAAGGTTAAAATGAGAAAGCAACCCGCTTTGCTGGGTCGGAGAAGGCAGCGCTTCCCGTCCCAGCAGCATGCTGCTCCAGGCAGGGGGTGGGTTGGTTTCCTAGCAGAAACCTCCAGTGCCGCCAGGCTCCGGGACATGGTGGCCTTGTACTGCAGATAGCCTGAGAGGAGAAAGCATCCTTCATGGGGTTTAGGAAGCTGTCAGGTTCAGATAAGGCTGGGATCCTATCCTGTGGGACCCCCAGTTGTATTAATAAGGAAAAATTAATTTTTAAGCACTGGGACTGCTGCCAAATTATATGACCTCTGACAGACCAGCTGTGCTAGGAAAATAAATCGTCTACATCTGAGACCCGTGATCCTATCTGAAATCGAAATAGAAAAAAAGTTGTCATTTAGCCACGATGGTTGGGGCAGATTGCAGCAGCCTGAGAGCAAACTGGAAGCTGCTAAACTTGCTCTCCATTGTGTGGTGAAGTCACCACCACTGTGTCCCATGGGGTCTCGGGAATACAGTTGTCTAATCCGGGAAGTGTGCAGAGCTGATGTTCCTGCACACACCCAAGCTGGGACTGATGGTGTCAGCACGGAGGTGGGGGCAGAAGTGCGGTGTGAACGTTTCCAGCTCTATCCTCACTCTGTAACAGCCCTTTGACACATTTCTAATTATAATACACACACAGACAAAGAGGTAGCTGGGCTATTTTCGAAATCCCTGTCTACACCCTGGTGGAAACCGCAATACTAGCAACAACATAAATCAGGGCTGTTGCTAACAGTGTTGCACACAGCTTAGCGCTACAGTAGCGTGGTTTTAATCACACTCAGAATCAAAGGGTCAGCCTGCTCCCTGTCTGAGCCAAATCGCAATCTCAGAAGGCCAGATCCTGAGCCAGGCTTGATGCTTGTGCAGTGAAAAGACACAAGCGTAGACACGGAGAGGTTTGTCAGCACGAGGTCGGCAGGCACGGGGCCAAACACTTGAAATCACAGCTTGGATCTGTAACCCTTTCCATGTGCAAATGGTGCCCATGAAATGCATTGGGGAGGACAGCTGGGGGGCAGGGGCTCCAACCACAGCCTTAACGAGGCACCATCTTCCCAAACAGATCAGGAAATGGGGCACAAACGGCAAGTTGGCAAGCAGAATAGCCTGAAGTATTACTTGCAGGGCTGGATGGCTGTAGGGACTTCTTGTCTGAATGCTTCTTCCTCTCTCTTCATACTTGATGAGTCAGAGAAAATGGGCTCCAGAGATGAAGTGCTGGGCTCCAGGTCTTTGAAACCTGCCATCATTTCTCCCCGTGCATTTGAGACAAAGGCAGAACATCTGCCCAGCTGTTCTGATGGGTCACCCCTAGCTGTGAAGTACTGTCTGTGTAGGGCTTGAACAGCTGCCTTTCTCTGTGTCTCTCCTAGGCAGATGGTGAAGCCAAAAGGACACTGTCCTTTCACTCTAGCTACGTTTTGTTGAAGGCTCCTTTGGGCCCTGTTTTTTTAAGGACGCACGTGAGAAGAGGAGAGAGGAAAACCCTAGTCCCTTGAGCATGTAGACACATACACACACGCAGTCTCCCTATTTTTTCTCTTTCTTCACAGGCTTACAGATCTTTCCTCTTTCACACAGAGGCCCTCCAGTTGGGGGGGGACTGCCTTGTTGCCTGCTACACACATGCTTCTGCATCCTTCGCTTCCCTGCACTCTCCCTGACACACCCAGAGCCCCTCAGCAACTTTCTCCCTCATGCGCACCCCCAAGCTTGTTCCTGCTTTTCTCTCGTTCTGTTTTACTGCTTTTACTGCTGAATATGTGCTCAGCAGGTAACAATGTGTTTAAGACTCTCGCCAGAATGTGCACTTGCCAGAATGTGCAGTAAGTTTGGTGCTCGTAGTGAGGCTCAGCAGTAGCTGGATTTGAGCAAGCTGTCAAAAGGCTGAAACCGCTGCTGCTTGGCAGCGTGCATGGAGGGAGCTGCGATGGGGCTCTCCCCGCGTGGCTCCGGAGGTGCTGCTTCCCCTCCTGTCCCATCCATGGAGCTGACTGCAGCCAAGGCACTGTGTTTTGCTCTGAGACTCCAACAGGACCCCTGAGAGGGAGAGCCAAACCAGGGGTGTTGTGGGATTCAGAGGGGCTCTGCCAGGTGCCTTTGGAAGAGGCAGGAGTAAACTGCCACTGCCTGGTGGGGAAGAGCAGGATTCAGTTCCAGAGTGGATGAGTGTAAGGACCCTGACAGATGACTCAAAGTGAGGAAGGTGTGAGGGTGTGTTGGGAGAGATAAG